TGAAATGTTTATGCTCTATTTGAACTCATTCCACAGTGTTGGGCTATAAACAAGCTCATCTGTGCTTTCAAAGGTCAAACGGCATCCAAGTCTTTCTAAAACAATTGTTATATTTGTGACATTAATAATGTTGACTTTTAGTGTTTACAGTTATTTTCGATATTAAAATTCAAAATTCTATTCTAATTGGGTTGAATATAAACTGGCACTAGCCTTTTTCACACATATTGATGCATGTTTCTTTGTAGGCAAGTCTATGGACCCACAGCATACCATACACAATGCAGTTTCTAACATCATCTGTTCTATCGTGTTTGGAGAGCGCTTCGAATACGATAACAAACGCTTCTCATACCTTCTGAAAATCCTGAATAATCACTTCATGCTCACAGGGTCAGCTGCGGGACAGGTATGATCAAATTCTTCATTTTATTATTTTATTTTATTCATTTATTTGTTATTGACCATGGTCACCCTGTGTGAAAATAATTATTTGCAGAATTTTAATATCAGTTAGGTGGTGAGTCATGTGACCCATAGTGATTACAAACAAGTAATGGGAATGATACATTAAGTTCCATATTTTCCTCAATGATCTTATAATAGTTTGTCTATCTTAGATATTCAACTTAGCCCCCTTCATCAAGCATTTCCCTGGACCACACCAGAAGGTCATGCAGAACTTCACTGAGTTATTGAGTTTCATCCGGGACGAAATAAAAGAACACAAGGAAACTCTGGATCCAGACAGCCCTCGAGACTTCATTGATGCCTACCTGCTGGAGATCGAGAAAGTGAGATCACTATTAATGAAAGAAGTGTTTTCATTTATTCATGTAGCTTCAGTAAACTGATAGATTTGTTTCATCCGGAGCAGCAAAAGTCTAATGAGGGCTCCACGTTTCATGAGGAGAACATGGTTATGTCAGTACTTGACCTGTTTCTGGCCGGAACCGACACCACATCGACCACCATCAGATGGGGGCTCATCTACTTGATTCAAAACCCAGATGTACAAGGTGTTAAAGCTAAACGCTAGTGGTGGACACATTTTTTCCAATGTTTTTCCCAATGTTTCCAAATTAAATACATTTAATATTTAAAACAGTAAATCTAATATGTGGCACTACTGTTTTGTTGAAGTGCAAACGCCACGGTTTCCTTCAGGAAATGCAAATCTACTTCCCTTTTTTTGCACAACGCAGAGCGATGTCATGAGGAGATTGTTCGAGTGCTGGGTTACGACCGTTTGCCCAGCATG